ACCAGGTGTCCGTGGGGTGTTCGCCGATGGTATATTCGAATTCAGCGACCCAAAAAACCCCCGGGTGCCCAGTTTCTCTCCTCTCTCGCATAAAGTTCGGGATAGTCCCCGGAGATGACGTTCGTCGACGTTCCTGAGCTCCAGGTGTTCGGAGGGTCAATTTAAACATCATAATCGTGATCAGCGACTTCGAAAATCCCCGGGTACCCGACTTGAGCCAATTCTGATTCTTATTTACGAAGTTATTAAATTTGCCAAAAGGCCTCTCAAAATATGCATTTTTAGCATGCATTTTTGGCTGCAGCAATGCAACTTCCGGTTTGTAATAGGTACAAAGTAGGTACGAATGATATAAATAATTTTTGCAAGCGAATGCGAAAAACCGCATTCCGATACGTCCTATCCTAAAAGATTTCCTATCATAATGCTTCATTGCCTCGACTAGTAACTAAAAATATGGATAGACTGTTGTAGGGACTGTCAAGTCTGTGCTCTTTGCTTTTGCGATTACCAGAATACAATGTATACCTCTCCTAGACCTGATTATGTCAGCTTAAGTAGCGGCCACCCTACGATTTAACTGTATTTGTGTGACAATAAAGAAATAACGTCACACAAGGTTTGTGGCCGCCTTCACTCGCGTTCTGCAGAATCCCGTCTGCAATGACGAATAAGGCGATACAACTGTTTTGAGTCACTGAACACGTATTTATTTATTCCACATGTGAAGAAATGCTGTCGGCTTATATGGCAGCGGATTTCTAGAAAAGGCCTATTTAACGAACCGGTGGATCTTAATGCTTCAACATAGTAGCAATGTTTTTTCCGTTCTTGCGTTTTTTTGTGATTAGCCTTACTATACTGGGTGTTAATTAAATGGTGAAAACGATGCAAGTGGATATATAAAACATTTTTTTCTTTCATCTTCACTATTTACACTTTCCACATCAAATCATTTCCAGTTCAATATAATGAATTAAGGAAATGAATAATATTTTTTTCGAATATATCAATTAGAAGAGGAAATGTTTCATATCCATATTTTTCGCTCAAATTTCAATATTATTTTGAGGAAATCAAATAAAATAAGGTAAGCAAAAATGTACAGACTTCATTTTGTAGTATTTTATGTTTATGTATAATATTTTATATACACAAGTATAATTTCACTCTACTGTTTCATGTTGTGCTAAAATAAAGTATTTTGCTTTCTCTTGTCACGAGAATTGTTTAGATTAGATTAATTTGAATGATTAATAAAATGATAAAGGGGTTCTTAGTGAGCCACACTGTATATATTTGCAAATATCCTAAAAAGCATGTCGTTCAGTTGTGAAATTGAGAACAAGATTTTTTTAAGAACGAGTTTTGTATAAGCACATCTGTGAATATTAATTTTTAAAAGAATTTTAAAATTGAAATATGCAGATGAAGGTCTTTTTTACCCTCTACACGTGTCTGTCTATTTTAAATTTTGAGATTTTTGGCAATACTGTTAAATTTCTTTATTAAATAACTCGAATAAAAATAAATCATCAAATAAACAGACTAATAAGAAACAAGAAACTTTAAATTATTTAATGATCCATACAATAAATCTTTACTATCGTGTTACAATATGTATACTGAAATAAAAATAGATGTCCAGTATTAACATACTAGCTTTCTTCAATTCAGTACTCGTGTTAAAATTGAAAGATGTCACCATATCTTTCAGTACATCATTTTTATTTTATATTTATATTTCAAGACGGCAATGAACAGAACAAAACGTGGCGCTTTGTTGACAAGCGATTAATCTGTGTAAAATAGATAACTTGGAAAGTTTTAAAAAGACATTCTACCACTAATTCCTGGAGAAATAAAAAACAAAAAAAAAAACAGTGCGCTTAGTATCTTTCGTTTTTTCAGGTGCTTGGAGTTTATTTCTTGAATTTCGTATTATTAATTTTGATAATGCACATATCAAAAATATGTAATTATGTACTGGGCGTTTTATTTAAAAAATCAAAGTTGGGTAGGTACACGGAAAAAATATATTAAAAAATTAAACAATTGTAGCATTGTGGACTATAATTTATACAGAAAATAATAACCACACTTTGTGGATATATTACTCAAAAATTGTATCTAAAATGTTTTGTCTGACTTTACCAGTGACTGCTCGTAGTAATATATATATTGGGTCAACACACCAGCGTGCGTGATAAATACAGGGTGTTCTTGAAAAGGACACACAACACTTGACAGGTTCCTTGGAAGAAAATAAGACTATTTAGCCTAACTTACCTATATACAAAAGTTTACGCCTTCTGAGATATATATATCCTTCTAAATATAGAATAGATAACCTAGTTGTTTCAAATAATTTGAAAACTTAGAAACTTCAAATTTGGTACACATATTATTTTATATAAGAGCAATGTAAATAAAGCATTTGGTGAGAATGTTCTCTTTCTAGTGCCTGTGCGCCACTGGCTAACCCGTAACTTTTTTATCCGTACGTCAGTGACGACAAAACTTATATTTTTAAAAGTAAGCACTATTTTAGAAGATTTTTTGCCTTATTCAAAATTTTGATATCGTTTATGAATTGCGAGTAGAATTGTCATTTTTTATACATTTATACACAAGGTAAAAATTCCAATCACTAAAAATAATTAATAACTGTAGCCTCAAAGCAAGGAATAATAATGAAAAAACTTCACATTAAAAAAACAAAATTAACTACACATTTTTAGTCTTAGTATTATCAATCAATAAAATAAAATTCAACACTATAGTAGGATCGTATTCGATGCACAGTAGAGCAAAAAGTTGTCGGTCTTTTATCAAAGGAAAATCGTGTCATCATTTTTAGGAGGCGTAAGATGAACCATTTCAAATTTAAAATTAAATTAAAAATGTTAAATCTGAAATACCGCTGCATACGCACTGTGTTCTGGTAGTAGCTGTAGTCGCCCAGGTGCATCGAGTGTACGAAGTGGTCGGTTATACGTCAAATACTAACCTGGCGAGCTTGATCGTAAAACAGAGAGCGCCTCCAAAAAACAAGTAAACAACAAAAAACAAATTGGATTTATAATAAATTACATTTAAAATAAATAGTTTATAAGAATAAAGGAATTTTTGTAGGAACAAGGGTGCCAAATGTGAACTGACCCCTTCGTCCCTTCATAATGTATAAAGAAATTATTCATTTTCTAAAACCCTTAAAAGCGTATGGCACTGGATTCCTTGAAAGGCAATGATTTATTACTTTGCATCGAATATGATCCCACTATAGTACTTTAAATAGATAATATCAATAATACAAGAAAGTCAACATTATTTAAAATCATATTAAAATAATATTACAGTAAATGCTCAAAGTGATTTCCTTGTTCTTGAACGGAGGTATTGATACTCTTAGGAAATTAAAGTGAATTTTATCCAATAATTGTGCATTACCTCTCCTAACATTAATTTCACTTTGTATTATTTCTCATAATTTGTTTCTGTATTAACTGAAAAGCTATAAACTGTGGTCCTCAACGCTCCCCAAAGGAAATAATTACATGGGTTTAGGTCTGGGGATCGAGGTGGCCATTTTACAGGGGCATTATTTCCTCTACTTATCCACCTGTTAAAATAGTGCTCATCTAAGTATTGTCTTACCGATAAGGCAAATGTATGAAAATCATATTCATTCGTACTGTTATCGGTAACTCTTCAGGCAGATAGGGTAACCTCGGTGGACAGATTCTAAATAATTTTCTGCTTGCAATGTAGCAGATAATATAGTAGGACCAATTAAAATACTACCAATAATACCAGACCAAACATTAATCTTAAATTCATGTTGGAACCGTCTTTTACTAATTCCATGTGGATTTTCATTACAATAAACATGTTCATTATTCGAATTAAAAATACCCCTTCTAGTAAAAGCGGTTTCGTCTGTAAACAGGATTTTCTTGTGGATCGTCTCTATTTCCAAGTTCCTGAATACTTTGAAAGCAAAACGTGATGGAGGATTTATTGGTAGGTAAAAGTTCTTGAACTGATTGAAGGTGGAATGGAAGTAAAACTAGTCTTTTAATACTCTATTAACGGAACTTTTTGAAAGCCAACCTCTGCCGCTAAACGCATTGTACTTACTTGCGAAATTTCTTCCACCATTTTCAAAATTTGTTCCTCCAGCTGAATAGTTCTAGCCGTACGTTGTCCACGATTTAATGTTACAGGTAAAAAACGTTCTGTTTCCCGAAAGCGTCTCTCCACATTAGAAAATGTTTTGTGATTTGGAATTCTTCAATTAGGAAATCTTTCAGCATATGTTCGAACGCTAGCACAACAATTTCCTTCACAATAACCCAAAACTAGTAACAAATCAGTTTGTTCAGCAAAAGTATAAATTGCAGACATAGTAAAGAAGATATTAAAAAACAGTCAGTATTTTTTTATGTAAAAAATAATACGACGAAAATTTAATTGTGGACAAATTATTGCACTATTTTTAAATTCTAAAAAGTAGTCGAATATAGTTTCATTTAAATCAAATTTTAGTAATGTCATATTCAGTTTTATTCGCCATTAAAGTTTCAAATAACATTCTAGTTATAGTATTTTGATTTCGAATTCTTTTAAATAATATAAATTACGATGTTAAACAATTTTTTGTTATTTATGAAAATAGTGAGACAATTTTTTCATACAGGCATTACTACGCATATCAAGGTCCGATCTAACTCAACGTTCTTGGAAAAATTTCTATAAAGAATTTTAAACACAAACACAACAATGTGGTAAAATACGTTTTAATAATAATTTTCATACATGATTATAATTATGACAGTTCTTTGCACAAAATAGAGGATCACAGTAATATAGTAACTTTTTACAAGATACTTTTCCCTTGTAAATATTCTATATAACTTTTTTAATTAATAATAAGACATTCACCAGAACAATAGGGAATGGAAATATCTAGTAAATAATGCAAATTCTTTCTGTTACAGGATATTAAGAGAAAATGGCCAAATATTTGTTAAAATCATGCTGTGGCTGTGGCTCACTGAGAACAGGAACTATAATATCCGGAGTAGCTGCTATAGTGAGTAAACGTAAATTATTTTTGACTGGCTGAAAATATTTTTGTATAAATCCTTGACCTCTTTGGCAATTCACCAACACAAGTATATGAAGTTCTTATGCAATTAATTTTAATGAGACAGTTTTGACTGAAAATAATTTTAGACAAAATATATTGTAGTTTTAAATTACAAAACCATGCTTTCTTTTTTCGATATCAAAATATACAAATTCAAATGTGAAATGAATATTTGGGATTATGAGTTTACTTGCAGAACGGACTGTGGTATTAAAAATAAACGAATTAGGAAGTTATCATGTAACTGCAGTTATTTATTTTGTGTTGATTTTTGTTTGTGTATGATATACAGGTTATCCCGAATGGCACGTCCCAAACTGTACATAGTGAGAGAACACATAGTGAGAGAAATAAGAAAATATGTCCATTTAAACATAAGTTCTTTTTGAGATTTAGTTTAGATGAGTTTCAGATATAAAAAAATATCACAATTATTTAAATATCTTTTAAAATATTTAATGTAAATTGAAAAAATTTGCAGAGGTTCATCGGTGAATCAGTGATCGAAAATTTTTTTGTGAATTGGATAAGTGCATTTAATTCTGGTTGATGTTGAGGAAAAATGATGTGAAATGAATTTTATGTTTGATAGAAATATAATTTTAAATATAACCTAATGATCAGAAGTTAAAAAAATCATTAGCATTAAATTTTTTGGGGATTATTTATCCTTCAGAAAATTTTAAATTCCTACAACGATTTTATTGGACTTTTCATAACTATATTATATTTAAAATTTAATATTTAACAATAATTCATATCTTTTTTGTAAAACAATAGTTTTGTAGTTATTTTCGATTTGTTTAACCATATCGAAGGCTTGTTTTACATTTAAAAAATAATTACACCAAAATAGCTTGTTCTCCAAATAAAATGAAAGATAACTTTTTTCTAAAAAATACCCATTGAAAATAAATGCACTTATCTTATTTGTTAGTTCTTAACAGTGGCTGCTTTAGAAAATTAAATTGGTAATATTTTAATAATAAAGCGTGGAACTCATAGGTGCTATGTTTTAGAGGATGATTTCTAGGCTCACAAAGAGAACTCTAATGAAGAAAAAAAATTGGAAGTAATTCGTTGAATCGAAAATTAAATTAGGGGCTGCCGATCCTATGATATCAAAAAGGGTTGCATATATATTTGCAAAACATTTTTTGGAGGATGATTTCTAGACCTACAAAGTGAACTATAACGAAGAAAAAGTATTGGAAATAATTTGTGGAATCCAAAATTAAATTAAGGGTTGCCGACATTGCGATCTCGAAAAGGGTTGCATATATACAGGGTGGATCATTAACAATGGGAAAGTCGAAAGCTTGACCATTGGCGCAAACATGCCTTATCCGAAAGTTGATAGTTTCGGAAATACAGGGTGTTGAAAGTTAAAATTTTAAATCGTTTTTTTGCTATTATATTTTTTTAGGCGACGAATAAGATGCGTGTTGTAATTTCAGCATTGCTCATAGAGGGCGCCACTTACGACCAATTTTACCGAAAATTTAGTTAATAACTTTTTACCCTGTATGTCTAACATGAAACTTGATTCAAAACCTGAAAGAGCAATCATTTTTCCATTAATTATGTATTCTTGTTTCATTTCGGTATCTCGATCCGTTTTCGAGAAAAATCGATTTAACGAACACTATGTTTTGATAATATGAGAAATTAAAAGCGAAACAAACCAAGTGTTTCTTCGTGTTATTACAACAATTAACAATAAAACAAATAAAATACGTAATTATGATTTAAAGTAATTGTTCGAAGAATCCACCGTTGACACTGATACACTTTACACGTTTTCTGAGAGATCTTCGAGTTTGAAACAACATATTGGGATTGCGTCTGACTTCGTCGGCAGCGATTTGTATTCTTTGCCACAACTCTTCACACGAACCAATAGATTCTTCCAAATAGAAAAATGAAGAGGATTGAAGTCCGGACTTCTGGGTGGCCAAGTAAAAATGCTTCCACGGCTTGAAGAAGTTCCACTTTATTTAAGAAGAGACATGTGGTTCATGCACGACGGAGCTCCACCGCATTTTTCTTGGCCAGTGCGTGCATATTTAGATGCAGTTTTTCCAAATCGCTGGATTGGCCATGTAAGCATTTTTGCTTGGCCATCCAGAAGTCCGGACTTCAATCCTCTTGATTTTTCTATTTGGTCTCGAATGAAAGATATAGTTTACAAAGAATCTATTGGTTCGCGTGAAGAGTTGTGGCAAAGAATACAAATCGCTGCCAACGAAGTCAGACGCAATCCCAATATGTTGTTTCAAACTCGAAGATCTCTCAGAAAACGTGTAAAGTGTATCAGTGTCAACGGTGGATTCTTCGAACAATTACTTTAAATCATAATTACGTATTTTATTTGTTTTATTGTTAATTGTTGTAATAACACGAAGAAACACTTGGTTTGTTTCGCTTTTAATTTCTCGTATTATCAAAACATAGTGTTCGTTAAATCGATTTTTCTCGAAAACGGATCGAGATACCGAAATGAAACAAGAGTACATAATTAATGGAAAAATGATTGCTCTTTCAGGTTTTGAATCAAGTTTCATGTTAGACATACAGGGTAAAAAGTTATTAACTAAATTTTCGGTAAAATTGGTCGTAAGTGGCGCCCTCTATGAGCAATGCTGAAATTACAACACGCATCTTATTCGTCGCCTAAAAAAATATAGTTTCACAAATTTTCAAGTTCCTAACCTACATATTTTCAGAATAATCGCAAAAAAACGATTTCAAATTTTAACTTTCAACACCCTGTATTTCCGAAACTATCAACTTTCGGATAAGGCATGTTTTCGCCAATGGTCACCATTTTACGTGTAGTATCTTCAGCTTTCGATTTTCCCATTGTTAATGAATCACCCTGTATTTGCAAAATATTTTCGTAAGCAACTGACAGATACACAGCGACTGACAGCCATTTTTTAAATGTTTCTGAAAATTTGTATTTTTCATAAAATTAGGTACACCATTAACTACAAAAAAAATAATTTACTCAAAAATGAAAGAAAGACAGAAAGATACAATATTTGTTAAGATAGAATTCCAAGAAAATGATCGGAATTACTGTAACAATTTATCACAGCAGTACGCTACTGCCTTGATATTTTTCGCCAATGTCTTTTTACCCCGGGTGTCGAATGCCAAGAAAGTGACGTAGGGGTCGTTTTGGAATACTATTTCAACCAATATCGTACGGACTATATGTTTGTACGTATCAACTGATTATGAAAGTATATTTTGCCCAAATATAATTTATTGTTAATATTTAGTACACTGTGTTCGAAACTTTTTCATTGTGAATGTTCTCTTTATGAGCATTAAAATCGTTTAATAAAAAGCAGTATAAATCCTTCTTTGTCATAATATGACCACTTTTTTCCAATTTTCACCAGCCGCCATTGGTTCTTAGATATGTATCTCTGAACATCTTCGTCACTAGTTCACAAATTTGCTTGAATAACGAGTGAATTTTTGTCCATAATTAGTTAAATTATAACCTCAAGTTTTATCAATCTATGCCAAACATTTTAAAGTATATTTAACTAAATGTGATTTTTTTGTAAATGACATTTTTATTTTTATTTTATTGTTATATTATCTCGCAAAGTTTATCGTGTACAATTCGGAATACCATACAAATTAAGGGTTGTTATATTACTTAATTACCTTCAATTAAAAATAAACTTTTTTCAGATATTATGTATCTTGGGGATCATTCTGACATATCTAAATATAGTACATCTCAAAACAATAGTATTTGATTTCCTGGAGGAATGGATAGGTACGTAAAATATTTTTAACAAATATAAATATTTCAAATGTTCTTTTTTAGTTAAAATAATTGTCACGATAAATATGGTGATGACGATAATTCTCTCAACATTGCTGCTTATTGGCGTAGTCAAAGTAAGTAGACACAAACTGAAAACTTTGACGCAAGAAAGGGATAAGTACAATATGAAAATTTTTTTAATAGTTTTATTATAACATTTGGCTAAATTGATTAACATTTACACATGAGCCGTTGGATCTTTACGTCACGTCATCAACATAATATATAAATATAAAACACAAATGTTCAATTATTGATCAACAAAAAATACAAGAAATCGTCTTCATGTGTTGTGCGACTGACACTAGTTCCGACAGAGGTTATTAATTGTCCTTGATGAATAAGGCAGACATATTGTCGTTTGTTGTGTCCTTAAAATGAAGACATATATTCGACTAGCATCGTTTCCTACGTTCCTTGTTGCCACATATGTTTTCTTCTGTGAACTCTGTTGTTGGTTCAGTAAATCGAGGTTAAGTTTGTTTGATTTTATTATGACGCAAAAAATCACAAAACATGTTTTCATTATACAAATATGAATCCTCACTAGTTCTTAAATGAAATGAATTCATGAACACAACCTTTGATTTGAATTCGTTTAAAATCTTATTGTTCTTTCATACGATTATGCTTGATGACGTGAACGTAAAGATTCAACTGCCCAACTGTAGAGTGAATATTCACATAACTAATGATTATACATATACATCATGTACACAAATTATGTAACAATATGTAATGCAAGAATTGGATAAGTACATAATTTGGCATTTATTTCATTATTGCACCAGTCTGCAGCAGAGGTTCAGTTTTTATTTCTCAAATGTTCACAAATTTTTATTTCACAAATCCCATATTTCCAACAATACATTTTTTATCCAATATCTGCAGATATTATATTTTTCTGAAAATTACGCACATATCCTTTGCTTGCACAAGGGCCCTCAAGAAAAAATATAAGAACAAAATCTACGAAAATTATTTGTACACAGTAAGTATGCTATTCGAAAAGTGACAGTAGTTCGTAGTTTTAAGGTTTTAACGGACCGACCTAATACTTAAAGTACGATGGTATTGCTCCTCAGGTAGTGGTGATCCTCTGAGACGTTTCGTAGTGGCCTCTAAAACTGGTCGCATCCGATGCTACCAAACGTTTCGCCGTTCATCACTGTTGGCATCTTCAGTGCCTGCAAATGCTTTGCCGCAACTGAGACCATTAGCGGCTTCGTGTCACCGTTTTACAGCGTCGGTGTTCACACTTATAGGTTTGCGCAATATAGTGGTAGTATGTGGTGAGGCCCGGCTTGCCTTGCTGTCTATAATAGCCTTAGACCCAATAAAAAAGAAAGGGACCTAGGGGTTCCATTAGCAGGTCCATCCTCACAGAGCCTACCCTAAGAACAACAAAGACAGGTCAAAGGTTCCTAGATGCGGCTGAGGAAGTGAAAGGCAATTCTGTAACTGGCAGCGACTAGGTACACAGGCCATGGCATAGCAACCCGAAAAACCATCGTACTTTAAAATTTAAAAATAGTTACACTTCCTTAAGAAAAATTATTTCAACAAATGAATTTAACAAAATAAAATATAAAGGGTATCTTGAAAGTAACGCAAGATTTGATTTGTGCGCCATTTTCATTCCGAAGAGTTGGCAGCATTGTGTTGGATCACATGTTGCATTAAACAATCCAGGAATTGAAGCCAAACTACCATCTTTAGCGATGAGGCGCGTTTTTATCTTAGTGCGTATGTGAACAAGAAAAATTTGGAGCAGAGACAATACTCGGGTCATTCAAGAACGACCACTGTATACTCCAAGAGTGACAGTGTGGTGTGGATTTTACGCTGGTTGGTAATTGGTCTGTTCTTTTTTTTTGAATGAATTTTGACAATCCTCACTCGCCCATCCTTTGTAGATATAGCACTCCATTTTGTCTAGCCGCAACATATTTATTACAACATGAGATCCTGCACAATTCTGGCAACACTTCGGAATAAAAATGGCGCACAATTCAAATCTTGTGTTACTTTTGGGACATCCTTTATGAGAAAATCAGTACTTCTTTTCAAAATGGTATTCATTTTGTATTAATTGTTTTATGTCATTTTAGAATTTTCAGTAACATTATCAGAAACCAAATATAAAATAGTTTTGATTGACATTTTAACAAAATACGCTTTTAAATATTTATATATTTGTAACTATCGCTTTTTTTAAATTTAGTTTAATGGTAAAATTTTTCTCTAAGCATATATATATTTTCTAGCGAAACTGGTATTTGATGATACCTTGGGTTGTCCTGGGTGGTATGTTAGCCATTGGTCTACTCGTTTCTATTATTATAAATGCAGTTCACTTTTACATGGATGAACAGACCAAGTTAGCAACGATATGGCTAGTGGTAGGACTAATATCATTAGGTAAGTTGACATGTTTAAAGAAAAATTTGTAACATTCTGCATTTTCTTTAATATATATATTTTTGTTTGCTGTAACACGTTAGCAAATGTTGATACAAAAAATCATGCATAGTGAGCGAAATAACTGGACTGTTAACTTTAATTTGGAGATACATATATGAATTATTAAGAGAAATTAAAATATTTACGCGCAAACTGTTAGGAATGTAGAAAAATACAAGAAACGGACTAGAGGAAACCTTCTACCTTCATCATAAAATAAGAAATGAAGTTGTAAAGTCACCTGCAATAGTAACTATATTAAACAAGTTTTTTACGATACTTTTTTTTACGACTGGAAACAGAGACCACAAAAATTAAATTTTAATTTAAATCGTTTTTATTACTAAAATTGCCAACGCATTAACAAAATAAATTAAATACAACTTTTAATTTAACTCGTTTTTATTAAGAAAATTGCTAACGCATTAACAAAAGAAACTAATATTTAATATTTATGGTAACATTTGAACATTCCTTCAAGGTTACGCTGGGAAAAGCAGTATTATTGTGCACCTTGTTTTCGGTAATAGAGAATATTTTTGGTGTCGTGTTTTTAGTGCAGTTTTTCAGCGTGCGGTCGTTGTTTTCTTGTTGTATTCCAGTAGACGATCGTTGTTCTGGTTCTGTGGCAGCAGAAGACACTGAAGACTCTATCTTTTTCGAAACTTCCATTTTATTTCTCAAACAGTCATCAACGTAGCCTTCGGCAACTGTACTGGATTTCCACCCTCCATGGCGTTTGAGGGCAAGCAGATTTGAGCCAGAATTGACTAAAATTGTGGCCGATGAACGCCGAAAACAATGTCCCGTGTAACTTTCTGGATTCTCTAGCATCAAAAACTTGGCGATTTCCCTAGCCATGTTTCCAATTTTGTTGATGCCAACGTTTTGGCTTGAACATTTTCCGTTTTGATAGTTTAAAAAAAACCTGCCTGTCTTCAGATTAGGAGGACGAAGAGCACAGTACTTTTTTAAGATAGTGTAAAGGTTTCCTGTAATTGTAAAACACCTTGGTACCTTTGTTTTTGTATTCTTCAGTTTAATCAGCATAGCACTGCCGAAATCTTTGGTGTCTTCTATTTTGAGATAACATAATTCCTCCCTTCGACATGCCCCAGATAGTCCAACTGCCACCACCGCCTTGATAAGTAAATATTTGTCGTCTGATGCTTTCGTCAAAAACCGGCAAAAATCATCTTCTGTGAGGATTTGGGACTTCTTTGGGACGTAGTTTTCGGATTTTCGTTTGATTAGCGCTTGCAACTTTTTATAGCTTCCAAGATCTATGTTGTGATTGGCACTTAACGTTGACTTGAGCATCGAAAAAATCGTCCACAACGTCGAAGATTTATATTTCTTAGATAGTTCTTCAAAATACACCATTACTGCGTTTTCTGAGAAAGTTTGGACATTTTTGGCTAGTCGCCAGTCCATAAATCGGCTTAACTCAGCTTCATACCTGCTTCTGGATTTTGTGGGCAGCAGTTCCGAACATATTTCGCTTGCTTTCTGTAAAATCTCTTCAGAATCACACATTTTCACACCCAAACTTCGGGAATTCAACAATTTTTGAAGTATCTAATCAACAAAATAAAGGAGCCGTGACGGTTGCTATGAAATTCAACCAACTTGAAACATTGCATAATTTGGGTGACAACATCAAACAAAAATCACAATCTGGAGACGCGTGTGCAAAGATAACATAACCGTGTGCAAAATGTTTAGCACACGGCGTGTGCAAAATACCGTTTTCAGAGCGTGTTTTCCGTGCGTAAAACCCCCTTTTGCAAGGCAGTCGTATAAAAAAATATATAAATACAAGTTCTATTAGGTGTGGTGGTGTATTCGTCTGTCTGTAAATTCAGTTATTTTGGTTACTATGTCAAAAAGATGGCATCAACAGCCAAATGGAATAAATTTAATATTTCAATTATTGCGCATATTTATAAAAAATCCGGAGACACGTCGATTTTGGATTCTGAAATGACATCCTGCAACGTAAAAATTTCATCCCCAAATTCAACCCCCTTCGAATGGCAGTTACAACCCCAACATTTTTAAATGGGAAGTAAGGGCTTGTGATACCTCATTTGAAAGGTATTTTCATTCTCTATTCAGAAATACTATGGTTTTAATATTTAGGTACTGCAAAATTAGCAGGAAACAACTAAATTCATCAGTTTGACGAAATTTACTACAGCAAACTAAACAAAAACTTAATTGCAACGAAGATGTAAAATTAGTTCCTTGAACATCTTGGCCTCATCCTAATTGTAAATAAAAATGTCTTCTAACGTTTTCCAACATCTGAGGCGTGACCGACATAACCGCAACCATTACTTATTTTTAAATAAAAGCAGACCATTAATTTTTGCAGTAAATATTAAAACCATAGCATTTTTGAATAGACAAAGAAAATACTTTTCAAATGAGGTATCACAAGGTCCTACTTCCGCATTTAAAAATTTGGGGATTGCAACTGCCACTCGAAGAGGGTTGAATTTGGGGATGAAATTTTTACGTTGTCATTTCAGAATCCACAATCGACGTGTGCACATGTGCACAATAATTGAGATACTGAATATGTTCCATTTGGCTGTTCCACACTGTATATATAAGTACAAGTGTAGATATAACTCTTAAATCAAATAACAAAATTTAAGTTATTTGGAAGAAATTTTTTTTACCAATTTTGAGGCCCTCTAGCGGCTAATCCAAACAAATTTAAAATAGAGGGAAGTTCAGTTAATTGTCTTCCTTTGACACATCTGTAGTAGTTCCATGTACTCAGAATATTTCAATTCAGTTTTGGTGAGAATGAGTAATCTACTATCACAACTTCAAATCAAAATATCTGCTCGGAAATTCTAAAAGTTTGGACAATTTTATATAAAACTGGTTCTATTAGGTATTTAAAATCAATAAGCTCAATCGTATGTAGTAGAAATCTGTTCATCAAACATTGTTTTGAAAGCATATTTCGGTAAAATTTGGTACTCTACATTAGTTTTCTATATTCTCACATAACATTATAGCATGCCCCATTTTAAATGGAAACATCATTGTATTTTTCATATAAATATTAAAAAATTATATTACGTACTTATTTGAATTTTTTATGAGGTACTTAAGCTTATGTGTTATTTTCTTCGTTGTCAAATGCCACAAAAATAGACAGAGATATTTTTCATTAAAATATGACTACACCTCTGGATTCTTCATCCCCATAATTGTACATGAGCCAAATTTTGTGAAAAAATATTCAGTGGTAATTAATATTACCGGTTTTAATTAATTTTAATGGATGAATTTTATAATTATAATTACGATTAATAAAAAATTGCAAATAATGACATTAATGACATAAGCCATAGTCCAAAATTTTTGTAATTTCTAAAACGTGTTTTATTCTATGCATTTGTTAGATCGCTTTAAAATATTTTTCATAACAGTTCTTAACGTTTGTGTAGTCATCTTTGTTGATTAGACGTACTTTGATTTAACTGCGCATCGTAGTAAGTAGAAGTACAATATTTAAAAGGAGAAAATTTGTTAATCTCTTTGTTTAATTTACTTATGATTCCAGTTTAAGAACAGAAAACATAAAACACGTTAATTTTATTTAACAATTTTTAATGCTACTAAAAATATTAAATATTTTTTCACGAAATTTGTTTTAATTGGGTAGGTATAGATTCCAGTTGCATTGTAAGATTTTAAATAAAAATAAAAATGTCAAATCTGGCAAGGATGTTTCCATCCGAAATGGGCCTACCTGAAATTAACTTTTTTCTACTTCTAGTTATTTTTTTTTAGTTATATACTGTTACATGTGGTATGTGTCCTTCAGTTTCTTCGCCAACTTGAGAGAAGAATCAGAGAGAGGTGCCTATTCAAAAGATCCATTTAGGAGGCAACGTATATAAAGTTCTCTGCTTTTGTGTATATGCAATTTGTGATCCTGTCCTGACAAAAGACCCTTAAGGAAGGTTTATGGGTTTATATCAATTTTCAAACCCTTCTGTGTACGAAAATATCAGTTTCTTAACGACAGTTAGTGTTACTACGTGTTATATATTTAATTCGTATAAAAAATAGACTTATGTGAATATTGTCATATCTAACTTGATATGGCATTTGTTTTGTAGATTAGAATCTCATTTTTGGTTATTTAAATTATTTATCTCTATATAGTATATAACTTATTGCAGCCATATAATTAATACTCATGTGTTTTTAAGAAATATATTTTCCTAAATGAATGTGTATTCGAATCTAACAATTTTATTTTTATATACTTGTTAATTTTTGTTACTAATTTATATGCGTTGAAAGTTTAAATATAAGAGCTTTATTTATATGTTATTCCTTTATTTCACATTGTATCAATTAATAGTTTTATTATCGGTTACAAAAAGAGTTCAGTACTTAAAAATAAGCGCAAAACAAAAAAAATATACATCATAATAAAGCGAAAAAACTAAATTTATGAAACGAAGACGTATCAAATATAAATTTTGAAGTAGAAAGTGTTTAGAGGTCGATGGTAGTGTTTTTAAAATTTAATCAATAAATTAATTCTTTTATTGAAATGTACGTCATAAACAAATGAAAATCGCATAACAACATTTGAGTTTTTTCTTATTATTTTGACATGTATTATCTATTCCTGGAACGGCCTAGTTAAAAAGAGGGTGTTCGTTGTTTAAAAAAAAACACAGATTTACCTCATTTCTCTTTACTCTAGCAATTACATGAACTTGTTCTTCTTCATAGCCAGCAATATACAACAATGGCACCAGATTCCCTTTGGTGCATTTGTTTTCAATCATGGACATTGACAAACAACAGCGAAAAAATTACTAAAATTTAGGGAAAAAAAACCGGAAGGGTATAAAAAACCTTTTGCCATATTTTTGTATGGAGAGCCTCTTCACGAGCAAAGGCACATTTTTTTTAAACATCCCGTATTTGTATTTAGCAATGCTGCTGCTGACAGCTTTATGTTACACTTACATAGTAATCCTTTATACGTCTACTTTATAGAGGTGTCACATCATCGCTATCAAAAACTAATGTCAAATAAATCTAAAAATCAATCACACATACATAATGAAATAATATAATTAAAATCATATTTTACACCTTTTTTATATTAGAAAGCATCTATTTTTTTATATGAAGGTAAGTTATAGTCCTAATTGATATTTTAAAAAGTATGCTATACTACTCAGCATATAAAAAATCATATTTCTTAACCCTAGTTCCTTTGTCACTGTCAACATCTAAATTTTCAGTATCTTCGTAAACCTCAGAACATAAAAATCAGGGCCATAATGTAAGAAAATGATATTGAGCTCCTTGGGCTTCCCAAAGCAGTTGGATGTACTACTCGTAATAATAGGTGGAATATTTGTCCTCGCATTCGATACGTCACTATTTCATATAAAACAAGACATGGAGGATCTATGGAGCTACGAATTTGATACAGAACTCCAGGAAAATAATCTCGACATGTATTTAAAATACATAATAGGTGGTGTTATTTTTGTAAGAACGTTTACATTACACATTTATCTGGCGTTCTACATAGTTATGCTGTGGCCAGCGATATTCGTAAGTATATCCGCTTTCGTAACAGAGTTATTGCACATTTATAATTCCATACGTAATTTTTAATTAAAACAAATGATTGGTATTATTAAAAACACAGAACAACTTTTCTTAATAGCTCTTATTATATTTTCTACAGAAAGGGCATTTATAAGTAAAGATCGGAAATGTTAGGGCGCCTGCAATGTGGTACAGAGTTGATACAGCTCTTTTATGTAATTTTATTCAAACAAAAAGTGACACAACCGTTGCCTTCTTATAACTGCACTATTTACATTATAAGAATATACAGGGTTAGTCAAAAGTATGGAAAGCCCCAAAAATATCAGCGGGAAAGCATTTTTGGGATATATGGTGAGGACAAAAGTCTCAGCATTTTCCACGGCACATCTGATGGTAACCTTGACCTTGAGGTCAAAGTCAGGGTCAAGGTTCAAGGTCATATCAAGATCAAGTCGTTTTTTTAATGGCGATCCTCCTTTTCGACCCCGGAAATTGAATGAGCAGAAAATTCTGCATCCGAATATGACATTCACCGTGACCACAAGGTCAATGGTCAAGGTCAGTCCAAGGTCAAATGTTGATTTTTACTGTAATATTTTATTTTTAACTACGGAATCAGAGGGAGTGACAGTCTTTGAGTAGATACCTGATGGTATTTTTTAGTGACAATGATCTTGAGGTCACTAAAAAATTGTAAGTCCCTTCTAAAATGACAGCCGGAATAATCACTTGACCTCTACCTCACCTTGACCTTAGTCACATTTAGGATCATAATAACATGTAGAATTCTACGCTCTCTTATTTCTAGCGTCGAAATAAGAAGTCGCTACTCCAAAAACCGATATGACCTTGACATGTTCTTTCGACCTTGACCTGTATATTAATTATAGTTTAAAACATAAAAATCTTTGCGAAATTTATTGTAGTTTTATAGTATATTTTAGTTTCCTTTCTCTGATTAGTCCAACCAAATTACACTTGGAGAAAAAAAAAATTGTTACCTAGACTTTTATAAGTAAAAATGGTAAAATGGTAATCATTTTTTTCGTTTTAACATATACATTTTGGTGAAATAAAAAAATCTGTAAAAACAGTTCAAAAACATACTCAAAAATGCAAAAAAGAATAAAAAATGACTTGCAACAATGAATTTTTCAGTTATTGTTGATAATTTGTTTAAATTAAAAAACATTCAAAAACTGATTACACCATTCAATTCTACGGAAAAAAATAAAAAATACTGTGTTTCATTGTTTGACCCAAAACTTTATTTTTGTACAGTATTGCTATAAACATCTAAGTCGAATTACAAATGATCAAATGATAAATTATCTCTGGACGATTTGACATTTCAGCAATACAAAGTATTAACTGCAAAGTCTACTGTTGACGCGAAATCCGGAAACTCGAAATTTTGCAAAATCCTTTTATTTTTTTCTGGCTTTATTTAAAATCGAATTTGAAATAAATTGCATATTTATTTTGCCACTTTTTTCGATCTATCCAATGGCGTCAACATTTTTGTAATCCGACGTTTCGTCTTCGAGGGTCCATCATCAGATTAATTTTTTTAAATATTTCGCTGCTATTTTTATGACAAAATCTAGTCATTTTTAATTCTGTATTACATGATATTAGATGATGATGAAAGAGTTCAGAGCCGTACTCAGGAAAAATTTAAAATTATAGCTAAAATAATCTAAAAACTTTTTAAGCGACTACAATAGTAATATCCTCTAATTCAGAATTAAAAATGACTTTAGATTTTGTCATAAAAATAGCAGCGACGTATTTAATAAAATTACCCCGATGATGGCCACTCGAATACGAAACGTCGGATTGCAAAAATGTTGATGCCATTGTATATAGCGAAAAAAGTGACATTATAAATATGTAATTTATTTTAAAATTCGTTTTCAAATAAAGCCAGAAAAAATTAAACAATTTTGCAAAATTTCGGGTTTTTCCGGAAATCTCCGGAACTGCCCGGAATTTTAAAACTTTCTAAACGGCATATTGTTAGGTATAAAGAATCACAACTTTTTCTAATCTCTTGGACACACTGTATCTATGAATTCATCAAACTACACTAATACACTAATTGTTCCTACGGAAAAAAATTATTATCTATTTTCTTTATTCACTATTCGACTTATGTTTACAGCAATACTTTACAAAAATAGTTTTGGGTCAAACAATGAGACGGTTGTTTTTGTATTTTTTCCGTTCAATTGAATGGTGTAATCAGTTTTTAATTTTTTAAATTTAAAAAAACTATCAACAATTACTGAAAAATTCATTGCTGCAAGTCATTTTTTACTTTTTGCATTTTTGAGCATGTTTTTGAACTGCAATTACAATTTTTTTTATTTCACCAAAGAGTATATGTCAAAACGAAAAAAATTATTACCGGCAGAACTCTGTACGATGATTTTTTTAAGTAGAATTTTTTTTGAAAAAAAAGTGTTTCAGGCCGAAAAAAATTAATATCTCAGAAACTTCTTGATTTTTTTATCTAAAAAAAATTGAGGTTATTTAAGACAGAGAAAGGTATACTTTCACCAAATTTCGTCAAAATTAAATTATTTTTGCGGAAATGAGAAATAAAAAACGAAAAATCTGAAAAAAACCTGTTTTTCGCATTTTTCTCGGAAATTTTGAGGATATGTTAAAAAATGACTTCTACAAAAGTTGTAGATTTTTACATGATCTACAACTTTTGTATTGGATACTTTTTTGTCTGACGTCAACCCAATGATACAATTTTTCATAACTTTTCCACCCCCCAAATCAACCCTCCGCCGCCCCTGCTCACGCATTTATTTTTTTTCGTTTATTATAAGCCCCTTTACCATTTCCACTTATAAAAGTCCAGGTAACAATTTTCTTTTTTTTCCCTCTAAATGAGTTATTTTGATCGGTCTAGTTGCCTATTTCGTTCTCAAATTATGCATACTTTAATACAAAATAAATCCCAACGTAAACTGAACATCGTCCTCAGCTCACCCCTGAAAACCTGGGTGTGTGTGGCGGTGCATTGATCTAACGGCACCTTTCCAATAGAGCGAAATAATCGAAATCTATAAATAAGCAATATACTTAACACGGAAATCACGAATGCTCCCTTCTGGGTAAATATAACCTGATTTATTAGTGAGCTTATTTAACCATGCAAGAAAAAACTTCCATTCCGATATGGATACCCCGGGATCGTGTATTCCATTCGCGGCTATCTTGATACGATTAACCATAATTGTTGATTTTGCATTGCACTTGCGGTGAGACATGAAAATTATAAGTTGGGTAAAATAATACAGACTTACAGTACATTTAATACTCAACGATAGCTAATTTTGAGAAAAAGGTTATATAAACAAATGTTAAAAATGTTTAAAGTCCAACGCTTAGAATGAGGGTAGTGTAGGGTAATCCTCGTATCACACACAGTCCTATACTGTCCTAAAAATTGTTATTATTAATTTAAGGGAATTCCATTGAAACTGAAAATTACGTATTAAAATTGACTTTTGAAAAGAGCGCCGTATTTTAAATGGAATGAATACTTCGAATTTTGTTGTTGTACTTCTTTAAATCCTTCATATAAGATCAAATTCGTTTTACTTAACTTATCGGGTTTACTCAAATGCACAGATGTACTTGAAATTTATATGGCGTATTACCCAGTGCTCCCTCTGTGCGTCATATTTTTTGAAATTTTTTTTTAATCTAGATTTTGAGATATTGTTGTTGAAAGTTGTTCATTTTAACATAGGTTTATATGGCGAAGATAGACGGTGCGGCTCTTTTTTTTGCCCTTAACTGAGAAAAAAATGTAGAAATTGTGAAACAAAACTTTTCCATAGATAGTAGGTACACAGTATTATCTTATTTTTGATGTAAAATGTAAGTTTTGAACATATTACAGTTGTATTAATTAGAAACAGAAACCAATAATTGCATTTCTGTCTGACTTGAGGATTAACGTGGCAATGTCGCAATCAGCTGACAGCAAGGAGAGGGAATACATTTGAAAGACTTGATAAAAACGAAATTGATTTCAAACATATACATTTTTCCTAAATCCCATATTGTTATCAACAATAAATTATCCACAACGGATGATTTTTTGTAATGTTTTTAAAAAGTAGATTAATTAAAAAAGGATAGGAAGCTGTGATATATTTACTGGAATAAAAAATACAGTTGATAAATATCCTTTTAATATATTTAATGATTTATAAAAATATCGTAATCATTACCCAGCAATATTTAGGGTTACATAAAGTTTTCTTTACTTGATTAATATAATTAGTAATACTTGAGATAAAAGCATTTGTACGGAATAACAAAGGAACATAAATATTTCTCAGCAAACTTTATATTTAAAATATTAGTTGCAAAACTTTTGTAACATTACTAAAATAGAGATTAAAAACACGAACAGTGAGTAATAATGTAATTTCTATCACAGAACTTGCAAAATTGCATCCAACATTTTCTTTGACTTGGACGAGAGATGGGCGCGAGTGGCATTTCATTTCTTTAGAACTAAATTAACATAATTCTCGTTGTTTTACCAGTTCACATGATTTACGGATTTTAAATAAAGGATATAAATCTTCGCGAGGATAATACGATATATTTGCTATATATAATAATTATATTGTTTACACACAATACATTTTTCAACGCGTACACATCTTTTCCCCCAATTTGACGCGCAATATCTCCGATGTCCGAGGTCTGTAGATTCGCAGTGTGTACAACTGCTAGTCAATTTAGCGCTGTTGCCACATCTACATAGTCTTTATGCGTTCATTAAATATAATTTAAAACTACTTAAATATGATATTTTTATGTTGTTAATTAGTCAATATGTATGCTATGTGCATATGAGTAGATTTCTTTGCTATATAGATGTTTATCGCAAATAATTTTAATAGAATTTTAATTTTTTCAAATTGGCAACGGGCTTTAGTCCCATAAGAAAAGCATAGGACCCCCTCTGCGCTCCTCACTTCCCTCTGACCCCGATATACCTCCTTAATGCGGTAAAATTATGATTTTTTAGAGTAGTTTTATTAATTCAAATTTCAGTATTTGCCTCATAGACTACGTCTATTTAATAGGAAATTAGTGTTAAAACAGACATACTTAAATCTTATTTAGGACTGGCGTTTTATAGACAAGAAATCGTAGTTTTAGTAAGACAGTGGTAGAGCAAATAAATCCATTGAGGAAATGGCGGTCTCTATTAGCGTAACACTAAACTAGAGCAACTTCGGGACACCATGGGGACACCACATAGCATTGAACATAAAAATTTATTTTATCGGTTACTACGGAGTCTGTGGTTACTACATATTCGGAGAACATCTGGCCATTTACTGTCGCCTAAAGCCGCATTAAGAAAAATTAACGCAATAAGCAACAATCAGATAATTTCAACATGTGCACAAAAAATAATCATAATAAACTAAGGCATTATAAGTTTTTCAAGTATTATTATTATACTAATATATTTATATTTTTATACTAACAATTTCGAATTCCGTCGGTAATTAAAGAAAACGCTTTGTCCAACGTTTATAAAGTTACTCTGTAAACCACAACAAAACATATCAAAACGTAAATTTTGCTTTGGCCCCCGCATAGAGGGGTACTGGGTGATTCACAACTTATCCAGAAAAAAATGGCAATAGATACGCCTGGAGAGTCACGTGGCCTCAGCGATTCCGAACAGTAAAATCCGATTTTACAATCGTCGTTGCGATATTGTTTACAATAGTTTTTTAGTAGTTAGTGTCAAAAATGGCTTGCGTGTATAGCAACTCGGAGTTGATGAATATAGTTTTAATTTATGGTGAAGCATGATAACATTTTGTATTATGATGAAGCAAGACAATATTTGTGTTAGTTCGTAGAAACTGAGTAACTGTTTGAACAGTTGTTGTAACATTAGGTTGTAGTATAACAACCCTAGGTTCGACAAAAAAATAAGTAAACGTAGTTGTGGCCAAAAATATGTGATCGTCATAAGGAATCCCTACGTTGTATGTATTTAATTTTTTATTGACCGGAAGGCGCTGGCTACTAACTTTGTAGAGGGGATGTATGCTTTAATTATATAAAACAAAAGCAGAGTAAATACACCTAACCTTTATTTACATACAATTCAAATTAAACATGTGACAAATAGAAAGAACAACAAAAAAACATTTAACAACCATTAAACATAAAAGGAGAGTGCCAGGCTCACCTAGAGCTCCTGCGGGGAAAGAGCATGGCAGAGAAACCCACGATCTTTGCTCTCACCACCCAAATATAAATACAAAACAACCGCTAACCAAAGGAATAAATTAAGATCATTTGCTAATGATAATCAAAACTGGACTTATTTAATGTGTCACTAAATGTCATCTCACTCAAGTCTGACATACACACTTCCAAGTAAAACTGAAGAGGTTTTAGTAACAATAATAGCAACAACAACAACAACAATAATAATAATAATAGCAATAATAATAGGGAAGGTACTGGAGTCCCATACGGGAGGCAATCCAGCTATAGTTGAGATTTCAGAGGAACAATAATAATAATCATGGGTGAAAATGTTAGTAAATTCAACAAAGCTCTTACATACGTATGACATAAAGTGAGCACAAGAAATCAAAGAACAACGTAATCAAGATAAAACAAGTTAAATGTGAAACAAAGAAGTTGTTTTGCAATATCTGGGCAGACACGACAATATACATATTTTAACATGTAATACATAATGAGCAATCGTTAATAATAATTGTAACAATTTTATCTTAGAGAAATATACGCCCCCAAGCGTAAGACAATGAAGGCTAAACCTATACAGAATTATTATCATGAAACATCTATGTTTTTCGTATAACGTATTCATGACAAAAACAAGTTAGATGTGAAACAAAGAAGTCGTTATATATATACGACAATATATATATGCACACATATATTTTAACATGTAATAAATAATGGGAAATCGTTAATAACAATTGTAACAATCTTACGTTAGGAAAATATACGCCCCTGAGCATAAAAAAATGAAAGCTAAACATACAAAAAATTATTATCATGAAACATCTATAACCATCACAATCATAAGAATATATAGAATAATTAACAACAAAGTACTTAAAGAATATTACCTGCTAACTAATACCGGTTAAACACTTAATTTTCCACTGCTTCTGTATTTTTCGCACTACACTGATCGTCTTACTTTTCACTTCGCGTTGTCCTCACTTCAACTGCCTATCTTCAACTATCTAGGCTTCCTTCCAGAATTTCCTACCCAAGTGCCTGTTTTTTGTGCTTCCTTCTATCGACCGTTAATATTAATTTTTCATTGTTATACAACACCTATGTAACAGGTGAAGTTGATAAGATAAGTACGGTTTTGCACAAGGTATGTCAAATTATTTTATTATTTAAAACCACAAATTAATTTTATTAATTAATAATAACAATAATGGCAAAAAGCAGCTGAAATACATTTTCAAAATATTTACTTTTTCAGGAAATAATTATTATCTCACTTGGAAGTACGGAAACATTGAGGAATAAATAAATTACATGTCTTTGAATAATAACAATTCCGCTTTATTTCGGGCAATTCTATCTAGTACAAGATTTTATTATTTTTGTTAAAGATATAAGTATAATCAAAATATAAATTCATTGAAGATTGTGTATCCCTTAAGAGGAAAGTAGTATTCCTAACTGCATAGATTATAATAATGTAAGTCAAATTGGCCAAGTCGAAAATTTGAAACCTGGCTCAAAAAATTATGGCAAAATTCCAACGTATTCTTTAATCAATTGAAAGACTTTTATTTCTCTCGAGAATTTTAGAGAAATTCCACCTTTTTCGAGTGAAATCGTCGTAAAGATATGATGTCACTATTTTCAGCCGCCATTTTGGTTCATCAAATGACTAAATCGATGCGCACATCAAGGCAAGTACCCTATCGATAAAGTCTTCAAAACACGGTATAAAGATTGAAAATAGGAAAAAATTGCGATGTTTTTCGTCCTGGGAACGGACGTTTTCGTAGCCTGAATGACCATCTGAAATACCATCCCCAAAAACAAAGTCTAGTAGGTTTGATTTGATACCTCGCCCGGGTGCTATGGTACTTTAACTGGGACCAATCTCTTAGTGTTTAAGGATTTATTTGTTAATGTATTGCAACGTAATATTAGAAATTAAGTATATTTCAAATCAATATACACGTAAATAAAAATTATAAAATTTTGACATAAATATTTTCGAAACAGAAGGTAATTTATTTTCACCACTTATTGTTAATATCAATTTAATTCAGTCGCTGAAAATTATTCCTATTTCAATAGAAGCGGAAATACTAAATCAAAAGAAAAAAAATAAACTTTCGTTCATTAAGTTTTTATCGTTTAGGCAGATCGGCCAAATCTCATTTTGCCATGGCTGGTGGTAGGTTCAATCAGATCTATACTTGTCAACCTTGTAACTTTGACTACAGGAAGTTGTGTATGTGTCTTCCTAAAAGGATATCATCTAATTTGCTTAGACTTTGTCCTATCGCAGATTATTCAATACGGACCATCTGTGTATGCTTGGCTGACTGTTTTAAGGTAAGTCTCAGTTATATCGAAATAACCTTTTAGTATACATAATTATGTTCATTCTAAATAAACTTCGAAATAAACTAATTGTGAATGACAGCAAAAATGAAATAGCAAACAGCCTGTATAATAAAACAATTTTATATTAAATTAAAAAGAGCTCTAATTTTCCCCATTAGGTACACCTAAATTAACAAAATTTGAAGGTACGAAAATTTAAAGACCCTTTAGATAGTACACCATTCTGCTCTTTATCACATTTGAAATTTTTGAGGTGACAATTCTTCTAAAGGGGTTGTGATTGTTAGTGTCAAATTTATGTAAAAAGTTCACCCCTTCCAAAACAAATCGACTTGCTTATTTATATGCATTTCCAAGGAATCATTTTTAGTTAATTCCACTTTGTTTTTTATTTGGTCCACCCTATATAGCTAATAAAGTTAGTCATTGATAATAAAAATTTTGGCATAATTTAAGTATATTTATCTTCATCTTTATTTTTAATTTTTTGTAGTAGCTTGAACACTTGTTCTTACAATAAGGTAAACCGTTTCAAATATCTCTGGATTTTTTTTTAAATTTATGAACGTCACATCAGAAATTATGCAAATTTAATGTTTCGTTTTAAGCTAGTTAAGCTAATACATTTATTTTGTTGTAATTGAGTTTTCAAAATGTTATGCCTACAAAATTTTATTTAACTTTGTTTTATATTTAATGTTATTTTAGCTATTACCACGATCTGCGCTTGTTTCACGAAGAGGAAAAGAAAAAGAGAATTCAAGATTCACATATCTTAACTGGAAGAAGAACTAGAAACAATGCGGCTCCAGAAATTGATTTTATTGCAAAGACGCTTGAGAGAAGGTGAGTTTGAATGGAAAATTGGTTATTTCATTAAGGGACATAAATAAATATATAGATACTAAGAGAAAAGTTAATGCGGAAATCAATATCAATAAATAACAGTGAATATTACTAACATTCTCGATTTAGCGTTTATATTATTATTTTGAGGTACTAATTTAGAAAAAATAGGAGTTATGTTAAATAATGGAAATTAAGTTGCATATTTGTAAAAAAGTATGTATCATAATGTGACAGAAGTTTACTTCTATTACACGAGGCCTGTTCAGAAAATAATAGAGCTTTTTATATCGCGCGTTAATGGAGATATTTAGTGATATGCGGTTGGCAGCATTGCGTTGCGGATAACCTCCTCTATAACCACATGTACTTGGATTGTTGATATCTCATTTACTTTTTCTGATATTGTTATTGGAGTGCAATGTGTTTAAGCTTTTGACGATTTTTGAAATGTGTGATTTGCTGGAACTACGATTCAACATAAAGTTTTGCTGGAGAAAACTTTCAAGGAAACGTTTAAACTTTTGAATCAAACTTACCGAGGATGCTCTGGGTCGTACGTAATGTTATGAATGGTTTTCGAAAATTACAAATGGTTGTCAGTCAATGATCTTCGACAAGGAAAATCTTCGACTTCAACTGATGACTCTCAGGTTCAGAAAGTCAAAGATCTGGTGCGTGCAAATCGCCGATTGACTGTCAGAAATGTCAGCAAATGGGTCACGCTATGAAATTTTGACTGAAAAATTGAACTTGTATCGAGTTGCAGCAAAATTTCTTCCTCGTTTGATGACCGAACAACAGAAACTTGATTCCTTGCGATTTTTTTTCTTATTTCCGAAATTAACATCAGTGCTCAAAGGACGCCGTTTTTAAACTACTAATGGCATCAAAACAACATCAACGACCATTTCAAATGATAACTTCAGGACTGCTTCTCGAAATTTAAACACCGCTGGGAAAAGTGTGTGAATAGAGGAGAAGAGTTCTTTGAAGGAGATAAGGACCAATAATGCTTAAAATTAGTAATAAAGTTCGGTTATTTTCTGAACAGACCTCATATAGTGACTAGTAGAAAGTACAGGGTGATTCACTATATTTTGACCCCCCCCCTTTATGTAAAAATATACAGGGTGTTCCATTTAAATTAACAAAGTTAACATCCGCGGACATTTTGTTTGTTATTCTACTATCATTTTCGAAAACTTCATAAAAAAATAGTGCCACTTTTGTATTTCACATTTTTTTATCTCTTAAAACAAAATATAGTGAATCACCCTGTACATATGATGTGTTAAAAAACTATGAGCAATTAATAATTAGATTGAAATAAATAGTACATATGTATAAATAATACTGATTAAGAAGATATAAATACTTTTATTTCCAAAAATTGTAAATATTGAATTAAAATGTGTGTAACAGATTTTAGTATTAGAAGTTCTAATTTAGAACATATATTGTATACAATATACAGGGTCGGAAAGTTCCCATGGTTCATCGGCCGTTACGCGAGAGCGATAAAGTAATTCATAAAAACCCTTGCGATAGAGAAGGATGGCTGTAATGAAGGCGTTTCATAGTCACCGCCCGTTTCGCCCTTCCACAAATAAGATCCACTTACACTTGTAATTCAGCGACCGGTGGGTTGTTTTTGTCGTTTGCCTTTTCTGTAATAGATGTCACTACTTATACAATTGGGCAGCACAATTTGCTTAAGGTCAGGCGCAGCCCTAGAAAGAGTAATGCCAGATCTACAGATTTTTTTGGAATTGGGGAAATAGGGAATTTTACTTTATTTCTAGGGATTTTTAAGTCATTTTAAAAAGTATACTTAAATAACAACTAAATGAACTTTAAATGCAGCTGAGCACTATACTCCATTTGAATAACTTCTCAGTAGGGGAAACAAGTTCACTAGATTTACAAACAGAGGTATCTACAAGCTACTGTAAAAAGTTTTCTTTGTTACGCGTTGTGCTGCCCTCTGTTAACGGATGGTATTAACATATCGGAATACCGAAGTTGAAATTGTATAAAGTAGTGACATCTATTAAAGAAAAGCCAAACGACAAAAACAAAGATGACCACCGGTCGCTGAATTACAAGTGGAAGTGGATCTTATTTGTGGAAGGGTGAAACGGGCGGTGACTCTGAGACGCCTTCATTATAGCCATCCTTCTCTATCGCACGGATGTCTATGACTTACTTTATCGCTCTCACGTAACGGCCGATAAACCATGGGGACTTTCCGACCCTGTATATGAAGAGGTGTCTACCATTTGTCTCAAACGTTATATGTATGTTATCTGTTTTTAGTTCGTTGAAAAACTATTTAAGTGAATCCAGTTTGAACTCTAACATTTTAATAATTGGTAAAAGTGGAGGTAGCAATATTTCAATAAAATCCTCTAGATCCTTGGATTCCGTCTTAAAAACGAAGTCAAAAGTTCAGGTTTCTCAATTCAACAGTAAAGGGGAGGACATTCCAAGTTTATCTAAAAAAGCGATGGTGATGTTTAACTTAACCGATGAAGATGTTAAAAAGGTTAAAAAGGAAAAGAGCAGAAGTAGCTTAGAGGGGAATAAAAATGAAACTGTAATAACGTCTTTGTTGCCTAATGCAGATGTAAGGATAGGTGAGTAGGTTGTCCACGCAAATAATGTGAAGTATTTATTCATCTTATCAAAACATACCAAAAACCAAAGTAGCATTTTCTAAAACCATTTTTACTTTTCGTTACAGATCAACTGGCTCATTCAGCTATTTTTTTTATTTGCTCAACGGAAAGATATTGCAATTTTAAGGTTCTCTGCAAAAAATTAGAATTTTATATACCTTACAAGTTATCCAAAAAAAATTCATAAACTGGCGCGCTGAGTTTCCGCTGAACCGGCCGGTATGACGTAATCGCATGGGAAATCGATGCCGCATACTTACGTGTGTCAGTTAGTTGTCTGTTACGTTTCCATTGAGTACGTTAACATACCGAATTTTATTATTAGTCTTTACTTTGATCTGTTTTTTTATATCTTTTATTTGAAAAATGACTTATTTTAAAAGCAACAAAACTACCCTGCGTAATTTAGGCATGTAATAAATACATTTGTATCTTTTAGAAACACTATACATTTGTATTTTCCATTGTTGATTTTTTTGTGGATATTATACAAATACCTATAGGTACTAAATATTTATATAAAAATACATACATAATAAATATTATATTATTACTATAATTATAAGATATGAGGTAGATTTTATGTAGTTTTCATGGGAATAAAAATAGTAATAAGAATTTTGTATTTGATTAGGTAAATCTTTGAAACCTGCGACAGAAACGGTTTAGTCTAATTAAACGTGAAATCCTTATTCTTATTTAGTATTCTTATTGTACAAAAACATCAAAACTTTCGCTACAAACGTACTTTAAAGAAGCTTTATACGTAATTGAAACGTTACCTTTGCATTTTCATTCCTCTCATCTCAGCTCTGATAAAGTCGAGGTTTTTATTAAAATAATCCATAACCATTAACAAACCTACTTCTGGCGAATTATAAGAATCTGCTTTTACAAAATTTGCTTCCATTTTTAAATTTAATATGCAGAAATGCTAAAACTTTTGATGCAGAAACTCATCTGGAAGTAGCTGACCGTCCCATGCGGTGACGTCATTGCATTGCCACGGCTGAGATAAATTTTCGCATTTTAAAAATCATATAGTTTGAAAACCGCTCAACGGATTGAGTTGAAATCTTCAGGATCTCTTAATCATGAGCATTACTGAATGACCCCATTACTCTAAAATTATTGAATATGATGATATTGATATAGGATGAATAGTTAAATACATTAGGTACATTTAATATTTGGACATAAACTAACCAGTGACGTNAGGTACTAAGTATTTATATAAAAATACATACATAATAAATATTATATTATTACTATAGTTATAAGATATGAGGTAGATTTTATGTAGTTTTCATGGGAATAAAAATAGTAATAAGAATTTTGTATTTGATTAGGTGAATCTTTGAAACCTGTGACAGAAATGGTTTAGTCCAATTAAACGTAAAATCCTTATTCTTATTTAGTATTCTTATTGTACAAAAACATCAAAACTTTCGCTACAAACGTACTTTAAAGAAGTTTTATACGTCATTGAAACGTTACCTTTGCATTTTCACTCCTCTCATCCCAGCGCTGATAAAGTCGTGGTTTTTATTAAAATAATCCATAACCATTAACGAACCTACTTCTGGCAAATTATAAGAATCTGCTTTTACAAAATTTGCTTCCATTTTTAAATTTAATATGCAGAAATGCTAAAATTTTCTGTAGATGCAGAAACTCATCTGGAAGTAGCTGACCGTCCCATGCGGTGACGTCATTGCATTGCCACGGCTGAGACAAATATTCGCTTTTTAAAAATCATATAGTTTGAAAACCGCTCAACGGATTGAGTTGAATTCTTCAGGATCGCTTAATCATGAGCAATACTTTGTTTATACAAAATAAGAATGTTTTTAAAAATTTACTGAATGACCCCATTACTCTAAAATTATTGAATATGATGATATTGATATAGGATGAATAGTTAAATACATTTAGTCCAAGCATTCTGTCACGGATTAATGTTAAATTTGCAGAAATCATTACCTGGACAAAAAAAATANTTCCCTCTTAAAAACGAAGTCAAAAGTTCAGGTTTCTCAATTCAACAGTAAAGAGGAAGATATTCCAAGTTTATCTAAAAAAGCGATGGTGATGTTTAACTTAACCGATGAAGATGTTAAAAAGGAAAAGAGCAGAAGTAGCTTAGAGGGGAATAAAAATGAAACTGTAATAACGTCTTTGTTGCCTAATGCAGATGTAAGGATAGGTGAGTAGGTTGTCCACGCAAATAATGTGAAGTATTTATTCATCTTATCAAAACATACCAAAAACCAAAGTAGCATTTTCTAAAACCATTTTTACTTTTCGTTACAGATCAACTGGCTCATTCAGCTATTTTTTTTATTTGCTCAACGGAAAGATATTGCAATTTTCTCTGCAGAAAAGTAGAATTTTATATACCTTACAAGTTATCCAAAAAAAATTCATAAACTGGCGCGCTGAGTATCCGCTGAACCGGCCGGTATGACGTCATCGCATGGGAAATCGATGCCGCATACTTACGTGTGTCAGTTAGTTGTCTGTTACGTTTCCATTGAGTACGTTAACATACCGAATTTTATTATTAGTCTTTACTTTGATCTGTTTTTTTATATCTTTTATTTGAAAAATGACTTATTTTAAAAGCAACAAAACTACCCTGCGTAATTTAGGCATGTAATAAATACATTTGTATCTTTTAGAAACACTATACATTTGTATTTTCCATTGTTGATTTTTTTGTGGATATTATACAAATACCTATAGGTACTAAATATTTATATAAAAATACATACATAATAAATATTATATTATTACTATAATTATAAGATATGAGGTAGATTTTATGTAGTTTTCATGGGAATAAAAATAGTAATAAGAATTTTGTATTTGATTAGGTAAATCTTTGAAACCTGCGACAGAAACGGTTTAGTCTAATTAAACGTGAAATCCTTATTCTTATTTAGTATTCTTATTGTACAAAAACATCAAAACTTTCGCTACAAACGTACTTTAAAGAAGCTTTATACGTAATTGAAACGTTACCTTTGCATTTTCATTCCTCTCATCTCAGCTCTGATAAAGTCGAGGTTTTTATTAAAATAATCCATAACCATTAACAAACCTACTTCTGGCGAATTATAAGAATCTGCTTTTACAAAATTTGCTTCCATTTTTAAATTTAATATGCAGAAATGCTAAAACTTTTGATGCAGAAACTCATCTGGAAGTAGCTGACCGTCCCATGCGGTGACGTCATTGCATTGCCACGGCTGAGATAAATTTTCGCATTTTAAAAATCATATAGTTTGAAAACCGCTCAACGGATTGAGTTGAAATCTTCAGGATCTCTTAATCATGAGCATTACTGAATGACCCCATTACTCTAAAATTATTGAATATGATGATATTGATATAGGATGAATAGTTAAATACATTAGGTACATTTAATATTTGGACATAAACTAACCAATGACGTCAGGATTAGGAGGGATATGAGGGGTTTCCAGATAAAGTAATTAATACTATTTCTATTAGAAATAATCGGGAATTTTTCTTGTCGAGAGCAGGTTAAGATCAGATAGAATATACCTATACAATGTAGCCCATCGTAGAAGGATATATTTTTCGTCATTTTTGTCATCGTAGACTTTCATTCTTTTAAATTTTATTTTATTTGTGTTGTTTATTTTTACGTTTACATCACTGGTGCTGTGACACCGTTTCATATATCTGGCATTTGGTTTGATTTTTTTTATTATTTTTTTATTATTCTTATTTGCCATTCATTTTGAATTCCATTTATTTTGCTATTCCAAGTACCAACGTCTCTCTTAATTTCAAATTTCATACGATAGTTCTATAATAGCAAAGTTCTAAACAATTTTTTAACTTACGGGGAAGTATATAATGCACTACTTATTTTTTAAGTATTTTTATCGCCAATAGACATTAAAGCCGTAGTTTTAGTGACAGCTGTCAGGCACTACGCACATTTACTGCCTAGACATTAGAATCATTTTTACTGCCGCTAAATTTAAAAATTAAAATTAGTTCTTTAACGAAAGTAATTTTATTTATTGTAAACATTTATAGCGAAATTAGAACGCCTGTAAAGGATATCCCTTGTGCTGTTTTTTTAAACATTTACTTCCTCAATGTGGGTTGAAGTGTTTTCACTAGTAGATGGTTTATGAACTATTGAATTCTCAAAGTGGTTGAATTATTTAAAAAATCGCTTCCAGACTTGACATAGGTACTTGCAGTAGGGAAAATTTGTTTGCTAACTGATTTATGAAACTCTTCAATGTAGCGTTCAGCTACCGTTTATCCATCAAGCAAGTTGAGATATCAGCACCTGAATTTATTAATAGTGTAGCTGAAGTTCTACGGAAACAATGTCGGTAGTCTACCTTTCACACTCTTGTAGCTAGATCTAACCTTTTATTGAAGTCACCACTTGTCAGGATATTTTATAATTATAATTCCATTTGTAAAAGGTGTTTCAACTGTTCTCTTACTGAGCTTTTTGATGCAACTAAGAATAGGTTTATTTAATTGTTATTATATCTAATGCAATGGTAGCTAGTAGAATATTTGCATGAATTAGTTTCTGTTTTTTTTTAGTCTTGGTGCACCCATCAGTTTTATTTTATTATGTATTTTTTTCTTTCCTCAATTTAATTCTTGTACTGGATTGTCCTGTAAATGGTTATACTGTTAGCCAAATACAGTGTTATTATTACTATTATTAAAAAAAATATTATTATTGTCTGTTTTAATAAACTATAGCAATATGTGGTTTAACTGTCGACTAAGACTTC